GTCTGTGCCTGGCTTCCTTTCACATGTTCCTTGGGCAACCCTGCTGTGATATAGAAGTTGGATTCAAAGTCACCGGGCTGGCCTTAATGGAAGCTGAAAGATGTTTTCTTCCTTGAAAGATGGTTCAGTTAAGGCTTTTCTGTTGCAAACCCCCTTTGAGTTGATGTATTTAATGCACACTCACTCGGCTATCTGTGCCTTTTCCTTTTCCATGCCATAATGGGATTAAGGAGAGCAGAAGGTGATTGGATGCTGTGCACTTACCGCTGGTGATGTGAGGAGCCTGGTGTCTGCCTCCTCCTCACATGATCAGACAAACCCCAGTTTGCCCAGTGCCACAGTGAGAAGAGTGTTTACTGGTTTTCATTGGAACGAGGACTTCTGACTTGAAATGACTGGTGGGAATGGAAGAGTTGGAAGAGAAAGAAGGAAAAAAGAGAAACAGCAATATTTAAGATTGTTCTGCAGGTGAATGGAAATTGTGGTTTTAATGTAAAAGGACATCAGCTGTTGGAAGCCAAGCCTGTCACTCAGCACCAGCTGAGTAATGGGCATCAGCAGCTTTAAGCACAGGCAATCCTGGTTTCTGGAAAGCAAATATGGAGTGTGGCAGCAGAGCCCTGCTCATTGCAGGCTCTGGCAGTTCCTACAAGCACATAAACACTTGGCTGGGTACTGCTACGCAGCCATCAAAGCGTGTGCTGCTGTCCCTATTCCCCCCTCCTTTCTATCTCCACCTGGGCTGGCACCTTACGTGCCAGGCAAGTGCTTCCAGAGGTGGGTATTCCCATGCACTTTGTTGGAAGTTATGGCCGATGCCTTGATACCTACTGGGATTTTGAGGACTTTTTAAGCAGCACTGTCTCGGAGCAGAAGGATGCCTTGGTCTTCTCGTGGCCCATGCAGGCAGGACCGCAGCCACAGGAAGTTCTGCTCGGTGGGCTGTGGTCCTCGGGCAGGAGCAGGCTGCTGCCGGTGCGCTGGACGGTGGGCCCAGGCTCCGAGGGGCTTTGTGGCTTCTCCTCTCTCATTCTTGCGTCTTGCTCCAGCTGAGCAGGAGGGTCTGGACAGCCCTGAGAGGGGACCGGGGGCACTGATGTGTCCTTGGCTTCCTCTGGTGTCGCTGGCCGGGTGGCTGCCATGGGTGTGCTGGGTCTGGATGCCTCCGAGGCTTGTGAATGGGGCAGGGGGCTTTCGGCCGCTGCGTGGACGTTCATGTGGAGCTTCCTCATGTGGTGCACAACAGCAGCGGCGTTGAAGGCTTGCTGGGGGAGAAGACAGAACCCCATGGTGAGCAGCTGGGGAGAGGGGTGGCCATGAGGTGGCATCTTAAGGGGAGATGAGGGGTGGCCATGAGGGGTAAGGGTGGCAGCTCTATAGTGTGGGGCCACTGAGAGGGGTGGCTGTGACAGGAGATCATTAGGAGCAGCCATGAGGGGAGATCGGTTTGCCCTTAGTGACATGGTTTAGTGGTGGGCTTGACAGATGGGTAATGGTTGGGCTCGATGATCTTAAAGGTCTTTTCCAACCTGGTTGATTCTATGAATTCATGCCAGGCTGCGTGGGTGCTGCAGGACAACGGGAATGTCCCCCTGAGATGACTGCACAGTGTGTGGAAAGTGGGAAGTGCTCATTCCTGGCATAAACACTGTGGTTTCCATTGAGTGCAAACTGCTGATGTTTCTGGAGATGACAGCCACTTCTACATGAGGAAATCATGGAGAAAAATACAGATTTCATGGAGAAATCATGTAGGAAATTGGCAGTGTTCAAGGCCAGGTTGGATGGAGCTTGGAGCAACCTGCTCTAGTGGAAAGTGTCCCTGCCCATGGCAGGGGATTGGAACTGGAACTGGATGAGCTTAAGGTCCTTTCCAACCCAAATCGTTCTATGAAATCAGGGGTAAATTAACCACACTATGAAACAGATGCTGGCACTGAATTCTGAATGCACTTAAAATGCTGTCACACACATGGTTCCTCTGGCATTCCTTTCTCCACCTAAATTCTTGCTAAAAATCTTGATATAAATGAAGCACCGATTTATTTTCAAGGCTGAAAGGAGGAAAAGCTGAATTAGGCTCCCCAAAAGATCTGCTGATGGAGCACCCACTTCACTCCCTCACTATTAAGGGCAAGTAACCCTTTCCCCCATCCCTGCGAGGCCACTGTAGTGCAGTGTTTGTGGGGAACCTACCAGTGCGCGTTGCAGGAGGGAATCTCAGTCCCAACATACTATAAACAGTGACTGCATCCAGTTTTCAGGCAGCCCTTGCAGGATCTCAGCTTTTGGGTGCTTCCCCCCACAGCTGAAGCCCGGCGTGTTGCTAGATGACAGCAACTGGCATTTGTTAGTGGAATGGCTCTGGGCTTCCACCAGTGAATGACTTACCCTCCATTTGCTCTTTGCAAAGTTTTTCTGGATCTGAGCACTGACAGATGGGTATATGTCACGGTGGAGGGCTGTATTTCCATTAATCCTGCAGATGGGGAGAGAAGAAAATGGGCTCGTAGGCAGATGGCATTTGTAAGGCATTCCACATTCTGGAGGCAACTAACTGCTTTGTACGTTCAATCAGCAATAATTAAACCCCAAGGAAAAACAGCAACAAAATGTAACGCAAACACACACTTCAAAGCTTGGGAAAGCTCAGGGTGGGATTTCTCCGTTGCCTCTGTTTATGGAGGCAGATATGCACAAATTGCATCTTTAATTATTCATCACTTTCTTTCTAAGCACACAAGAAAGAAACACCCAGGGCCATGCGGAGGCAGGCGGTGACGTTAATAACGGGGGCTGAGGAGACACCCCTGTTCCCAGCTACTGCTGAGCACGTGGAGCCAGAGGCTGAGGCTGGTAAATCCCTGTCCATTGCTGGGGCCCTGGTGCTCTCACCATGGGTGCCGCAGGGCTTCCTCACAGGTAAACCTTGTGCTGGGGTTCTTCTCCAGTAAATGTCTGATGAAATCCTTGGCTGGGTGGGAGGGGAGGAGAAAAGCACAGAGAAAAAGGTTATTTTCTGCCTGTTCCAAGATACAAGCCTAACAGGGCCTGGCAAAGGCTAGGGGGTAAATAAAGATCACGAAGGTCGGCCTCAGGAAGGTGGTGTACTGCTTCATTACGCCATTAAAGGGAGACGTTTGTGCTGAAAGATGAAAAAATGTTAACTGGGGATGTCCCAAACTTCACATTTAACTACATTAATCTGAGTTGAATTATTCACCTAAAAAATACCTCGAAAAACCATAAGAAAGTGCAAACTGAGCAGATTTAGAAGTTGCCTTACAGAACCCTTATCCCTCCCTTGTTTTTATTCCCTTATTTTGCAGGGAGGATTGCAGTGGTTGGTGTTAAGTCCTGACAAACCTCCTGCTACTTTTGTTGTATATATCAAGGACTGATGTTCAAAACTTGCTGCTAAGGTGCTGGTTTCAGTGAACTCCGTGCAGGTGAGCTACACGAGCAGGTTTGTCTGGTGGAAGGGTGCAGTGGTGGCCAACGTGGCTCGTTGTGTTGCTGTAAGGAAGTGTGACTTGATAGGGTGAAAAGGGGAAAAGAAGAGAAACCCCAAAAAAACAGAAAAATAAGGTGAAAAGCCTGATGTTCCCTTATTTCCAAGGGAAACCTAAGCCCACTCTGAGCTCACTAGTCATTTGTGAAAATCAGGGCTACATTAACAGAGGCTTCAGCCTCTGCATTGTAGGAAGGATTCAAAGCACCCCAAACTCTGCCAGTGCAGCCTGGCCTTGCTATCATCACTCCTCTGCTGTGATGGTGGGAGCCCCTGCAATCACCTCCCACATCTGGGGGTTCACTGCTGTGTGAGTGAATCGGTTCAAGACTTCCTCCTTTCCTATCCCTGCTGGGGAAGTCAAAGATCACAGGGCTCTGGACTGCAGCTTTACCTGATGCGGAGATATCATCCCAAAACGGAGACTCAAACTCATAGTAGCCTTCCTTAATCTTTTCAAACAGTTTGGATTCAGTCTCTTCATAGAAAGGAGGATACCCACACAGCCTGGAACAGAGCAGAAAGCCAGTGGTCCTTCAGTGCTGGCATCCACAGCAGCCCGGCAGACAACACAAGTGAGTAGTAACAGAGGAGGCTGCTGTATCCATCCATCTGTCCCTCACATCTAAATGCATTGGTAAAGCTGCAGAAAAGAGTTAAAAACTTAACTGCAGCAGCAAAAGGACAAGGCCACAGCTGGTACATAGCTGCATGGTGTGGGAGGAAATGAAACAAAAAGTACCAGGGAAGATTGAATGATATTTGTAGGCAACTGGAAAAAAAACAAACCAACAAAGCATGAGGCACATAATAGAGAAAATGTGATTCCTTTCATCTCCACTCCAGTGCTTGATTCCCCACATCCCTTTAATTTCTATGCTCTAGTGAATCTGTGCAAAGGAAGAATACAGTGCTGCTGAATACGCGCAGCAAAATGGGAGGTCCAGTATTGCCTCTGCTGGCACTGCTGCTCTGCAGAGGTGTATGAAGCGATGGAGGAGTGGGGAAATAAGTGGGATGTTGGTTGCTCTTACTCACAGGATATAGGTAATGACTCCGATGGACCAGCAGTCTACGGCTTTGCTGTATGGCTTCTGGGCAAGGACTTCAGGGGCTGCAGAACAGGAAAACCAAACAACAATTGTAAGCAATAATAAATTATCCAATACAGTTTAAATCAGCAGTTTCTTGTACACTTGGCCTCTGAGGTGCCAGAGAATGGGCCAGTAACAGCCCCATTCCCCAGCTGGATTTTGTCATTGAATAGAAGTACCACAGACAATTTCTGCCTGCATCCTGAGGTTTTAACCAGTAAGCTCTGGGCCCAATCTGATGGACATTACACAAAATCCCATCGTGTTAAAATGATTTTTGTATTTTTTCACTAAATACGTGATTCATGCTGAAATCTATTGCTCTGAAAATTATCCTTTTATTTGCACTTTTGAACAATTTGAGTTTTTTTCAGTCTCTACACGCATTTGTAACCCAGTCTTTATGTGGTCCACTCACTGCATCTGTGACTAACACACTGTTGTTAATAATGACAAGGTTTTTTCCTTTCTGCTAGGCAGTGCACTGCACATGCACAACCCTTTTTCCAGACAGTCCACCAGCACAAGCCCATTCCTGATCCCTGGCTTACCAACATATCCTGGAGTCCCACAGGCAGTGGACATGATGCCGTTCTGTTCCATTTTAGACAAGCCAAAGTCCGTGATCATGATTTTGGAGTTCTCATCAGGAGTAAGGTAAAGAAGGTTTTCAGGCTGTGAACACACAGGCGTTAGAGGTTGGGATGCGTGGTAGAAAATGGGGAAGCCAGGGGCAGAGGTCGTGAAGCTCCAGTCCCATCAGCTCCCTGGGGTGCTGCTGTTGCTGAGGGACAGGTCTCACCTTCAGGTCCCGGTGAACTATCCCGTTTTCATGGAGGTACTTCACGGCTGTCAGGACCTGGTGGATCACCACACTTGCATCTTTCTCAGTGTAAACTCCTCGTTCCAAAATGCGGTCAAACAGCTCTCCCCCAGATACCCTGTGGGAATGGCAGGTCAGAAAGATGAAACAGAGCTAATCATGCTGTTGTGTTGGGCAAGGCAACTTTCTGGTCCTTTTACAGCAGAACCAGTCCTTGAGCAGCAGTTTTTTGTGAGGCTGATGGATGCTCTTGGATGCAATTTCAGGGTACCAGTAAGCATCAGTGGGAAGCCCAAGGAACTTGGGTAATTTACAAGGCAAATCCCAGCAGGTCTGAGCTGCAGGCATCCAGCAGAGTCTCCAGGCTCTGCTACACAAGCAGAGATGTGGGGTTTTTTGTGTGATTGCTTCCTTTAGCTAAATTTGCAAGTTAGCAGTAGCAGCCTGGTGCTTGGAGCTGGTGCCCACAGCGAGCTGCTTTCTCTGCAGCTGACATGTTGCCCATTTTCATTTCTAGAAACCCTGCGTGGCACAGCTTTAATTAGAAATGCTTCTGTCTCTGCCCTGCTAAACTGTGCTGAATTAATTTGCATAAATAGATCCCAATCTTGGTTTAGAAACTTGCTGCTAAAACCAGCATGAGCTGAGGTCCTGGTTAGTTCAACCCATGCGGCTCTCGCCTCCTTAGTGAGGGGTGTTTGGGCATGCAGCTTTTACATGGGAGGGACTCTGGCACGTAGGTAGTGAAATAGGGTACATCATCCTCGTCCTGCCACTCTTCTTCCTCTGTGGCCCTCAAAGAAATGGCTCTGCTGATACTTACAGCTGCATGACCAGGTAGAAGTGGGTTGTGCTCTCATAAATATCTTCTAAAGTCACGATGTTTTCATGCTTTATTCTGCAAAGACAGACCACAGAATCACACAACAGTTTGGGTTGAAGGGAGCTTAAAGCTCCTCCAGCTCCAACCCCTGCCACGGGCAGGGACCCCTTCCACTGGAGCAGGGTGCTCCAAGACCCGTCCAACCTGAACACTGCCAGGGATGGGGCAGCCACAGCTTCTCTGGGCACCCTGTGCCAGCGCCTCAGCACCCTCACAGGGAAGAGCTTCTGCCTAAGAGCTCAGCTCAGTCTTCCCTTGGGCAAGTTCACGCCATTCCCCTTGGCCTGTCCCTGCAAGGGTGTATGGCTCTGGTGGGGTTACAAACCCAGCCAAGGAATGAGGGCAGAAACTGCTGATCTGCTAATTCACAGTAACATTTATACACCTTTTAAAAAGAAATATATATTATTAGTGTAGAGCCACACACCTTAGGAAAGGATATTTGTTCCACTTTACATTACAATGTCTATATACTCACTTTTTCAGCACTGCTATTTCATTCTCCAAGCTGCTGTCCCTTGTGAGAGGAGACTTCTTGATGCACTTCAGAGCAAAGAGCTTGCCAGTGCTTCTTTTCTTCACTAGGAAAACTTCGGAAAAGGCACCTCTGCAGAGAGGAAAGGGAGTTGGATTTCAGCAGCAGCTGAAACTGGGAGAATGCTCACAGAGAGAAAGAGGAAATAGCAAGAAAAACCAGCAAGGTAGTGATTTAACTGTAAGTGGATGCTGATCATAGACCTAGAACTACATTCAAGGCCAGGTTGGATGGGGCTTGGAGCAGGCTGCTCTAGTGGAAGGTGTTCCTGCCTATGGCAGGGGGCTGGGACTGGATGAACTTCCAACACAAACTATTCTGTGATTCTATGCTCTCCAGCAGCCCCAAATTTAGGATATTCAGTGCAAGATTATGCAACATTTAGACACCCCCTTTTCCCCCTATTTTCTCTGTTCCTAGAGAAAAGCTTGATTTTACATTGTCCCTCACAAAGCTGTATTGAGGTACCGGACAAAAATTACCCCTGCAATGAAATGAAATCCCATTCTTCAGTTCCATCTGTGGAGACAGTCAAGTGAGTGTGCCAGGCTGTGGGTGAGCTTCGGCTGTGCTGGGTTTGGAGCACACCTCTGGGGGAAGCAGATGGCAAACAGGGTTTGAGCCCACACCTTGGGTGCATGCAGGAGGAGGCACCATCCATGGTCTCTTATTGACTGCCTTTCAGGGCTCTCCTGCCCTTCAACCTGTTGGGACTGGGGGAATTTGCCCAGGCCAGGTGTGGGGCTGTATCAGTAACCACATCACTAATGGATGTCTGCAGCTTGGGTGCTTGTTGGGGTAAACATCCCCCATGGGAAGATCCCAACAGCCTCCAGTCTAACTGAAATTCCTGCTTAATACAAACCCTATTTCCTCCAAGCCCCCATGGTCTTAAAGGAGTCCTTCCCTTGCCCTGGTCAGCATTGTCCCAAGGGCTGAGGTAGCTGAATTGCATGAGAGAGCCCAGTTAGGTTGCAATTTGGGTGTATCAACCAATGTTCTGTGTGTCTAAAGTGCAAAATAACCAGGTAGCATCAGTTAATATTTTCATTCAGCATTCTGCTAGTACCTGTGTACCCTTAGTGACAGAGTGACAGTGAGTGTCTTGTATGTTCCTGATAAAGGTTCTGCCCAGTGCAGCAATGAGCAGGTATTTATAACATGCCTAAAGCTCATAATCCTGTTAAAGGTCTGTCTTAGGCAGCTGAACACACGTGTCAGGACGGTGACAGTGCATACTTTGCCAGGTCAGTCCTCAGTAATCCTCATCAAATGGGCAACAGATTAATTGATGGCAGTTAAATGGAACTTGCCGCTGAGCCTGCAAAGTCAGGCAGGAGCTGGAGGGCAGAGCGAGGAGGGTGAGTGCAGTGGAAGCACCTTCTTGGTTGGGATGCTGTTGCAGCAAAGCCAGCAAACAAGGGCTGTTATCTCCTGTAATCTACTAAGCAAAGAATCCGGTGTGCTGTGCAGACAGACTGGAACATGGAGCTGTTCCTGTCTGGCACACGGTGCTTTGCTCATGTGTCTTTGTTAGCGAGTGCAGCCGGTGATGCTGCTGGTGATGGGGAGCAGGAGCCTAAGGCAGCTCCTCACCTGGCTCTGCTTTCCTCCTCCTCCTCCAGTGGGGCCCTAGGTGCTGCCGAAACAATGTTCAAGACCATTGGGGTTGTGAGGAATTGGTTGTGGCAGGACTGGTTCCTAGCAAGGAAAAAACCAACCTAAAACCCAAACCAACACCTCGAAACTCATAGATTTTCTGATGAACTTAAACCTTTGCTTCACTCAGTCAATGATATGTAATAGTATTCTCTCTTCTGACCCAAAAAGCAGGTGGTGTTGAGACCTTTTCCTTGTTTCTCCTTTTAAACTCTGAAGGCTGTTTTATGGAGATGCCTTTCAGGTTCCTCAGAGCTTGCAGGGAATAGGCAGGGACATTCCCATTAAGGTGGCTAATCCAGCAGTGGTGGATGCTGGGGGAAGATGATAGCAAGTTTCCAGGTACTTTTAGGTCCTGAATCTTCATTTATATTCTTCAGCCAGCTCAAGTGGCGCATGTGGAAAAAATCCCAATTTCTAATGCTGAATTTTCCTGTTAATGTAATAGTAGGAAATGAACAACCTACAAATCAGATGCTGGGGCATCTGTTCTATATATCTGTCCCAAACAGTTTATAATAATTATGCCCCTTATTAAAAAATGATGAATCAACAAGTTGGCTGGGAGAGAACAAAGCTTTTTTCTAAGCTCATTCCTTTGGGGAATTTAACTCATTTCTGAGGCTGACCAGGGACATAATGATTTAAAATGGCACCGAGCTCCGGAGTAGCTGTTTTTGGGGAGCTTTGCTGTGGGTTCTCAAGTCACAGAAAATGTGGCCATGACAGAACTCGCTGGTGGAGGTAATTCAATTCCACCTCCGCCACCTTGGGAATGTTGTCGTGTCTCATTCACATGAATAGGCAAATTAAGCCGTTAACTCACACAGAAGTATCGTACGACTCAAACATCCTTGTTCTTGTTTCATCCCCCAACTGAGTCAGGGTTTGAGCTAAATAGATGATGTATTATTAGGATACCTCTCTCAGAGCCATCCCTTGACCTTGCTTGACCCTGCAGCCCCAGCAGACCAGTGTGCTCAGCAGGAAAAGAGCAAAACTGACCTAAGCTGCCACTCAGAGGGCCAGGAGGAAAGGGCAGAGCTGGCTTGGAGCTGTGCTGCAGGGCTGGGTGGGAAGGAGCCGCTTTGGTGCTGCTCGGCAAGTGTGAGCCATGAATCAGAGCAGCAGCAGAGCAGTGCAGCAGCGACGGGCACCAGCCCCTCACCTCGAGACTGGGGCTTGGCTCAGTCCTTGTGACACTGGCCCAGGAGGGAGGTGCTGCCTGGGGCTGGGCAGGCAGTACCTAGCGGTGGCCCTGTCTGCAGAGCAGCTCTGGTACTTACGATCCCAGGGCCTCCATGAAAATGAATGTTTTCCGGATGTTGCTTGTCTGTTTCTTCCAGGAGCTGCTGTCATCCTCTTCCTTGCGACCCATCTCCTCCAGAGTGGAAGCAGGGGACGCTGTGAGAAGAGGAGAAGGAGAGGTGACTGGGGTGGAGGGTGCTCGCATGAAGAAGCTGGCTGGGTTCGGGATGCTGTGAGAAGTGCTGGCTTGGTAAGGGCAATCAGACTTTTCAAGCATGAGAAATCTGTGCTGGTTTTGCTACTCACAACTGCTTGTGCTGGCCGTGTCCCTGCTCCAGCCATCAGTGCAGCCTAATACCAGCTCAGCTGGGTAGGAACTGGTGACCATATGGTAATCCTGTCTTGTCAGTACACTCATTTAGCACGTGTTGGCAATTACAAATGTTTATGTTATGCTTCATATTTAGTGGTTAAAAAAGCCCTGCTGAACGGTTGCTAATTTTAACTAAAGCATCTATGACTTAATGGATTACAAGTTAGGTACAACCAGCAATGGAGATGGATTATAGTTTAGCTGCTTTATTGCTCAAATAATAAATAGTTTAAAAGAGCTCGTGACTGCAGGGAGGGGAATGGATACAAAACATTCTGGTGCTGTGTCTTGTGCAGTTTGCGCTGCTGTCACCTTTTATTTGTGTTAATTGACAGATTGCTTCTGCTCTGAGTCACAACCTTCCCCCTGCCTTTGTCTTGCAGGGAATTGATGTGATACCAGGGTGCTGGGAGGCTGCTGAGAAGGCAAAGAGGTGCCCAGCTTTGTGCCCTGTCTGCTCACGGGACGCTTGACCTTGGTCAGGTCCCAGTTCCCCACTGGTAAGCTCTTTAGAGTGCAGGCTGGGCAGCAGGGCTGTAATACAGAAAGTAACCGTGTCTGCCTGCGGGGAGCTCACTGGAGCAGTGGAGGACTTAGTTAGGGCTTACACAAGGTCTGGGAGGTGTGAAATGTTATACAAGCATCTAAGAACTCTTAATAAGATCAGGTCTAACAGTGCAGATCTAGAAGTATGCTGGAAGGTGAGAATGAAGCCCCCAGGATGGACTATGTATGAAAGTAGTGGCTTGTCCTTGCTATCAGGGTATAAAAGAAATGCACTGAAAACATCCCCAGGCAGGGGGATGCTGGGTGGTGACAGCAGTGCCCTTGGCATGGGGAGCATCCCCTTGGAACGTGGAGCACCACACTTCCTGAGAGCAGCAACGGCTGCACCAAAGCCCGTGAGCCGCAGCTGAGCCTTTGAAAGGCAAAGCACAATCTTGGGTGGAAAAATAAGTGTTTCAGGAAAGGCAGAAGTATTAAAGCAGCAAAAAAGCTGGAAGAGCTTGTTTCAAGACAGGCAGTTGAGGTACTGAGTTCCTCCTGTACCTCATTCATCTCCTGAATTAGCATGGGCTCAGGGTTTCCAGCTCCTTGACCCAATTTTTTAAAGGTTAATTTAACGTTACTGAAACCAGAATTGACTCAGTTGTAAGCTGTTGAAGGCTTCAGTCCATAAAGTCACCAAAGGCCAGTGTGCACTTGACCTTTATTTACCTTCTAGATTCTGATGCGTGTGTAACCCCTAGAAATGAACTCCTTATAAGCCCCAGCCATCTCTTCCTGTTTAGAATCAGTGCGGATCAAAAGTTCTTCACAAAAAGCCTTTCTGCCAACACCTTGAGCCCCCAGATGAAGTTTTCTTTTGCAGCCCTTTGCCCACCCCAGATCTCAACAGATCTGGACAGTCACGTCAGGAGGATTTTCAGCAGAGACACTCAGCTGCTGGTGGAAGGTGAGTTTTATCCACTTGAAGCAGTTATCAAATGCATGATACCAGTGTGGTGTTGAGTGATGGGTAAGATTCAGATGCCCTCTCCATGTCCCAGCTGACTGTCAAACAAAGAATGGGAAGTATAAAATAAACCAAACCCAAGTAGGTCAGCCTGGCCCCAGGGACAAACAGTATTTTAGTCTCTGTTCCTGTGCAGCCCTTGCACTGAAGCACAGCCCGATTGTCACGGGGGGCAGCCCAGTAGCAGCCCAGTGCAGAGGAATCCCTCCTGGGATTAAACATTCTCATGTTAAATTCCTTGTGAGTTGAACAAGTTTCTCTTTAAAAAGGGATTTTGCTTCCAAAGGAAGGTAGTACCGTGTTTTCTTCAGTCTCCTGTGAATCATCTGCTCATCTTATAGTTCCTCCTTCTGTCACTCTCCGTGTACGGCATTTGGTTTTGCTGGTATCTGGAGGGAAGGCTGGATGAGCAGCTCTGACTCCCTACACGTGTATTTGATTTCCTGCTTTCTCAGTTTTTCTGTGCCATCATGAGCAAGTCATTTCCTGCCTCCCCTCGCTTTCTGCAAGGAAGGGGAGTAAAGTGCTGCTATTTTGGGAGCACAATAATGAAATGTTTGAATTGCCTAAAACGTAAAGGTGCATACGTGCTCGGCTGATGAACACTTGCTCACCTTCCTCCTTCCCCATCTTGGATCACATTCTTCTCAATACCTATTCCCTATTCCTCTTTTGATGCATAGGAGAGTGAATACAAAGGTGCAGGACACAGAGGCCTCTCAGTCTGGTTCTGCTGTAGGATTATGAGACCTGGTTGAGCCACTTGTTGCACTTTGCAGCAGTTTGTGAGACTGCGGTGTCTGATGTATTTGTTGTCTGGGGTTTGTTATTTATTCAGGCTCTGGCCTAACAGTGTCCTGACCTTTCTCAGCACTAGTACACAGTGCATGAGTAAACGGGGTTTAATCTACTTTCATCTACTTGCTTAATTAAAGAAACTTTATGGAGTAGAAAACATCATAACAAAAGTTGGGCAAACAGACTTTGTGCTTGGACTGGCAGGTTTTCCTGCCAGGTGATGTATCCATCCGTGAGCCTCCATCACACTCCTGACATCCCTTGTTTGTCAGGTCCACCCTGGCACCCTGTGCATCCCCCCAGCTTGGTGGGCATGACTTCCAGGCATGGCAGTGGGATGCACGGACACAGCACACCCAATATGCACTTGACAAATAATGCATGATTTTGAACACCTAATGCAGGGAAGGGTCCCTGTTTGCTCTTTCACCCATTCACATAGTGCATTATTTTGAACACCTAATGCAGAGAAGGGTCCCTGTTGCTCTTTCACCCATTCACACAGTGCATTATTTTGAACACCTAATGCAGGGAAGGGTCCCTGTTTGCTCTTTCACCCATTCACACAGTGCATTATTTTGAACACCTAATGCAGAGAAGGGTCCCTGTTTGCTCTTTCACCCATTCACCCTCTGACGGTGCAAGAAGTGTGTTAAGATTGCATAATAAAGTGGAACTACTCATTAATTAGACCTGAGGTAAAGACCTTCGGAGAGGAAAGTGAGGTACTTAACACTGCTTTAATCTGTTTAGTTTCCCTCTTCCCCATCACAACAAACCAAGCAATATGCAGGACTTCAGTCTGAGAAGTATATGCTGAAAGTAGACAAAAGTTCCAATATTAATGCCTATCCTTTGGGCTCTTCTACAGACTAAGTCAATAAATGTGGCTGCTATACTCAGTCTGCTCCAGCAAATGACACATCATTGCTTAGAATGTAATGAATGTTATTATGACCTTGCTTAAATATTTCCTGAAGGAATTTGTTCCACTTTGATATCTCTCAGTAACAAACCCATCTGCAGACAGACACTCTGCTTCTGAATGGATTATACTGCATTAGCAAAATTATTGTGAGACATGATTAATAGTCTTGTGACAAAGTTCCATGTGGAGGGGGAAGACACATGCTGCTTTCATGATTTTGCCTTTAGAATGGGCAAGAAGTTGACAGAGAATATAAAATCAAAAGGTTTTGCTTTTAAAAATACACCAAAACAAGCAATCTGCATGTGAATGAATGAACTGCCAGGCCAGCCTCTGTGCTCGGGGACAAAAGAAATGGAAAACATGAGCTCGCCATTAAAAACAAATCCACGTTAAGCATCTTGTATTCATCCCACCGCTCCATCGGTCCAAAAGCAGTGCATTGACCTGAACACTTGCAAAAATCACCATTTTCATTGTAACCATTTCAGATTCCTTTAAATACTTTGGAAGTAAAAGGTGAGAAGGCAGCTTTCTATGAAACTGCTAAATATGAGAGGTGTAGGATCCGAGACTGACAGCCTGTGCAGAGAAGTCCCCCAGTATTTCCCTGTTACTAGATAAAATCCACGTAAACCCCCCCAGGTTAAGCAGAATCCCACCTGCTTCCCTGCACAGCGCAGGCAGGAAAAGCAAATGGCTATTAAGGAAATGCTGTTTTGCTTACCCAAGTCAGCCAAACAAGGGAACTTCTGTCCGCTGCTGCCTCTGCTCGGCTCCCGCGGTCTGGAGGGATTAGAGCTCGCCTGGGTGCTCACGGGCAGTGGGGAGGAGGAGATGCTCCGCTGTGATGGTAACCAGGGAGCTCTTCCAGAGGAGTAAATTGCCAGTGGGTGTGCGTGCACGTCGCTGTGGATAACGGCAGCGGTACCTGGCAGCGCGGACACGGGAGCACGAGAGCTTCACCGGGGGAGACTGAGCTGCTGCTGGGAGAAGCGGAGCACAGTGAGCAGCAGCGGCTGCTCCTCACATGTACCCAGCTGGTACTGAAATGCTCCTGGGTGGAATGCAAAAATCATTCGCCTGAACCAGAGAAATGACTTCTTGGTATTAACAAAAATCATGGAATCCCAGACTCGTTTGGGAAGGGAGCTTAAAGCTCCTCCAGCTCCATCCCCTGCCACGGGCAGGGACCCCTTCCACTGGAGCAGCTTGCTCCAAGCCCCTGTGTCCAACCTGGCCTTGAGCACTGCCAGGGATGGGGCAGCCACAGGTTCTCTGGGCACCCTGTGCCAGCGCCTCAGCACCCTCACAGGGAAGAGCTTCTGCCTAAGAGCTCAGCTCAGTCTCCCCTCTGGAAGGTTGAAGTCATTCCCCTTGTGCTATTGCTACATGCCTTTGTGCCCCATTTTCTTTTGTTGGGAGTTCTGCGGGGCCACACAAGATGGACCAGGATGGGGTTTTCCACCAGGATGCTCTGGGACCCCAACCCTCTCACCTGCAGCACTGTGAAGATGATGCTCCTGCTCCCCACCATTTGTACATGGCACGTTAAACCATGGAGAAGAAGCACTGCAGCAGGGATCAATCTCCATCACCAGAGTTCTGACTGTTTTGTACCATACAGTAGCTCTGTTTTGACTTTCAAAACCTCCGTGTGTGTGTGTGCCTTCCCAAGAAGCACAGCACATATGAATACAGGAAATAATAATTCTTTGAATTTTCTCTATAGTGGAGAATTTTTCAATGGCAATAACAACTTTACTGACTGCACTCCTCTGATTTACACTGCCATCTAGAATAATGCATGAAAGAAGTACCCATCATTGTGCAGTTTAGTTTTATATCAGGAATAAATCAACTCTGAGGCAATACTAGAAAATCACATTATTTTTCTTAATACTTTTGTCTTCAGTAGCTTCATTCCCTGGCGATGGCTGTTGGTTTTCTTCATTTGTTTGCTGCTGGGCTCCAGCCCTGTAACTCTGTTGTGTTAGGGACTGTGGTCAGAATTCCTGGATGTGGATTTGAATGTGAAGGTTTTCTTTAGTGCCAGCTTTTGGTGGAATCTGCATTGATCTGATAGCTTGAAACCTTTGTGCCTGTGGTGCTTGGTGCCCTCCTGTGCCCGGCTGTGGGCTGCTCTGCTGCTGTGCCTGAGAAAGGTGCTGGCCACTTCTGCCTCTTGTTTTCATTCCCATCTATTGATTCCACTTTTAAAACATAAAACCAACCGAATGCTTTCAGTATTATTGTCTCTACAGTGCTCGGTTCTCAGCTTATTTCTTATTTTATACGATTTGGTGTCTGATCCCAGGGTTTTGTTTGCCTTGCGTGGAGGAGAGGAGCGCTCATTGCCCAAGCACCAAGTTACCTGCAGGGTGCTTAAGGGGAAATGAAATGAAAAACGGTGTGATCCAACCTAAACCATCAATGATTCTTTGGTGATAATGCAGTTGGGAACAAAAGGGAAGCGTTTACTGCGCTCCAGTCCTTGGAGTTTGGGTGGTGTTATCAGGCACTAGACAGAAGTAGGAAGAAACTTGCCTGAAAACAGGAAAGCGGAGTGGGGTTCTGCAGTACATGAGAGCTGCAGCGTTCCTCACATCCACGGCGTTCAGAGTTTGGCCTTCAGAAACACACTGAGAAAAGCACCAACAAACCAGTGCAAGCAAGGAGGAGAAGGTCCCTTGTGTGCTTTGCTGTGGGAAGAATCAATTGAGATGGCGGCTCTCGACCTTGCCTGATAGAAATCCGGGACAACAGGCAATTCAGTTCAGGGACTTTTCCTGAGCTCTCAATGGGCTCGAGTTAAAATAGCAGTTATTAACCAAAGCCATGCAGAGCAAGCAACAATCTAGTTCTTAATGGCATGAATCAGACGTGAGGAGGTGTGATGGAAACAGGCAGTGCAACATGCAAATCACAGCAGCCCGTTTGCAGAGGTGTTTGAAAGGCACCGTTAGCCCTGAACCTGTTCTTCTGCTGAGAAGGGACCTGGGTGCTTCTGTGACAAGTGACAAAAGGAAGTATCTCCTGAATACTCTCCGTGGTAGCAGGGCTGTTTGTGCAGGAGGCACATGCACAGGGGTTTTCAAGCAGAGAGGTTTTGAGATGTGATGCTCCGAGTGTAAATACAAACTCAGAAAGCAAATCCAAAGAATCAGTGTTGGCAGTCTCAGGGTTTTCCAGGAACTGGACTCATGGGTTGTAA